GTCAGAAAGTTTACTACAATATTGAACATGAAGTTATGTGGAAAACACATGCCGAAGGTCCGAGAGTCTACTCATCCATATTACCTTCCAGCAAACAAAGTTTGTGTATGGGGCGAGTATAAGTACCCGTAAGAGTCTTTACTTGCACTGACCGTACCAATCCATCAGTTCCAATGTTGACATCAGTGACCAAACCAAGAGGCCACTGGCTGCGAGGTGTGGATTCATGCAGGATTAGTACAAGATCACCAACCTTATAGTTCCTGGAAGGGTGGTACCACTTCTGTCTTTGCTGTAGATCAGGTAAGTATTCCTTCACCCATCGTGACCAGAAAACATCTGCCAAATACTGGACCTGGCGCCAGCGCCGACGGTAAAGGTCCTGTTTCACAAAGTGACCAGGGGGGAGAGTACACTCAGGTCTCAGCAGAAGCAAATCATTTGGGGTCAAGGGCTGACCATCTCTTGGGTCCTCAGACAGTTTTGTTAGTGGCCTTCCGTTGACAATTTTCTCAACAATGCAAAAAAATGTCATCAGTCCTTCATCATCTAGAGTCTGTTGCCTGGTAAGGTTCATGAGAATTGAGCGCACTGAACGGATTTGTCTCTCCCATACACCTCCCATGTGGGAAGCTGTGGGGGGATTAAACTTCCATTGTGTCTCTTGCTGTAGTAGATGTTTCTCAATCTTTTGCTGGTTCCATTCATCCAGAGCCTTCTGTAATTCATGGCGAGCACCAACGAAGTTCATCCCGTTGTCTGAGCGTATTAGTAGAGGTGTTCCCCGACGAGCCATGAATCGTTGTAGAGCATTTATGAAAGAATCTGTGTCTAAGGTGTGAGCGACCTCCAAATGAATGGCCCTGGTGGTTAGGCAAGTGAACAGACATCCATATCTTTTCACTTCACTGCGTCCTCTTTTGATGTTAATGGGACCAAAATAATCGACTCCAACACTAGTGAAAGGTGGTTGACTTGGAGTCACATGATCAGCTGGAAGGTTTGCCATGTGCTGCGT